CAGCACCCAGAGGGGCGGGCGGGGTGGGGAGGGGAGTGCTGAGCCCCTCGGCACCTGGTGCCCATCCCCCATGCCCGGACCCACCTGGAGGGAGCTAGGGAGCAGCAAGAGGAGGGAGACGAGCAGTGCCAGGCTGGTGGTGGTCCTCAGGGGTGCAGAGGGGACTCCGCTGGCTCTCCCACCTCGACTGGTGCCCAGTGCAAAGGGAGCTGAGGCTGCCATGGTGCCGCCGACTCCAGCTGTCTGGTGCCTCCGCTGGGCACTGCTCCTCCCCGGTCATGGCCCTGCACAAATATTTGAGTGGCCCCAGGTGGCGGGACAGCCCCTTGTCCCCCCACCCACCACAGCTGGGGGCTGCCAGTGCCTCCACAGGGCAGCCACGGGGCACTCACGACATACCCGGTGTCTGGGCATCACTGTCTGCCTCCAGCTGGAGTGCCCTGGGTGCCTGAGGGGTAGCTGAACTCCACAGCTGGGCGAGCTCCACAACCAGTGCCCCTGTGCCATGCCTGGCTCAGATTTGCCCCAATGCTGCTAGGGCATGTGAGGCAAGTCATCCCCTCCCTGCCCAGTGCCATCGCAGAGGATGGGTTATGCAAGGTGGCAGTGCCCACTTGGGATGGGCAGCAGGAGGGGTAGTGAATGGGGACAAGGTGGAGACAGAACAAAGACCCAGAGAGGGGTTTGAGTCAGGAGAAAGGGCTGGGAGCAGGGTGGGAGGGGACAGGGATGCACTAGCTGGCCCAGAGGAGAGCAAGGGGCTGGTGCAGCCCCCAGTGCAGGTGGCAGCCCCACAGGCAAGATCCCTGCCAGAGCACAGGGCGGGGACATGTCTCCAAAGCAGGGGCTCCTGGTGCTTCCCTCAGGGCTAGTGCTGATGGGGTGCCAGGCTGTGCCGGAGGGGTTCACACAGCTGCGGGACCCACAGGAAGAGCCACCTCCTTGAGGTGCACCAGGGCACTGGGCTGGAGGCCCTGCACCCTCCACCCAGCTCTGCCACGGCAGCCCGGGTGCTGATGCAGGC